CAGTTTGTTCTGGTTTCTCTGATAAATCTCTTTCTTCTTCCTTCTTTTTTGCTTGCACAATTTTTTAAAAGGGTATATAATAATTGTCATTTGCAATATCAAGTATCATTCTAAGTAGAAATTTAAATGGGCTGAGAGATAGCAAGCACATTTTTCAGGGGTAGTGTTCCAGGGAAATTTCTCTGCCTTCTCCTGGGGGGACTACATTGGGGGATGGTGTTCATCTCCCTTTTCTTCTTTCCTCTTCGCATTGCAGTGCCAACACCTAGTACTGAATGAATTTCCTACTCTTCTTCTTCCTGCTGCTCCTTCTCCTAAAGAAAAACTGGGACTACATTCTGAGCCTCCTCTAGAATGAAGATGAAAGGAAAAGAACTGCAAGCTTAACTCTTTTTTTTCTATCTTATTATTTGAAACATAGGTAGCCCAGAATTGCATGCCAATACCTCTAACCAAAGATCCCCGAGAAGGAGGTATAATATGTCAACAGATAAAATCAGAAGATGTTTACACGTGTGTCTGTAAGTGTGGGTGTACAAATGACTTGCCTATTAAATCAACAGAGCTAAATACCCCTGTGATGTCAAAGGGATCCCTGTAACTAACTAACTAACACTCTCTCTCTCTCTCTCTCTCTCTCTCTCTCTCTCTCTCTCTCTCTCTCTCTCTCTCCTCATACACACTCTGCTAGTGAAAAAGTGAAAAGTTAAGCCATTCCTAGAAGGAAATTCAGGAGACAAGTATAAAACAGCATCATGAAAGATGATCAGAGCTTTCCCACTTCCAGGAATTTATTCCAAGGAAAGAATAAAGGATGTGCACAAATAGTTAGCCTCAAAGATGGCAGTCAAATCCATAACAGCCAAAAATTAAAATAATCTAATTGGTCAGTAATAAGAGGGTGGTCAAGTTAATTATATTTTATCAAAACAATAGAATACTATGCAGATATTAAAATGTATACAATGCATGTTGACATGGAAAAATACTCAATTTTGTTCCAATAGAAAAAGCATGTTAAAAGTAAAATATGTTATAATATTTTTAGATTAGGTAGGTATACATGTATATATGCATAAGAAAATATATAAAATGCCATCTTCAGTTATTTATCTTCTATATCTTTTTCTTCATCTTTCTCCATATATAAATTTTCTGATTTGCCTAAAAAATATATGCATTACTTCTGAAATAAGCCTATAAAAATGGACATAATATTAAAATTCACAGTATCAACAGTATCTCTTTAAAAAAGTCCCTTAAATTGCCTGCAGCTGATAGGTTAAACAGGGAGTCCTTGTGAATTAATACTGGATGATAATGGTAGGTACAAATGGAGAGGAATAATCTGTACTCAACGAGTCATCTGATTAGCATATTTCATATTCTCTGTTAGGTTTTGAAAAACTAAAAGTCCTTCTAATAAACACTAAAAATCAAGAAGCTAATATTGAGATTTTTCTGCACCCATGCAACTGATTCTAAGGATATTTTATTTTAGATGAAAACATCAAAATTGTCATTGATCCAAAATGGCCATATAAATCCAGCATCTACATCTGAAGTCAACCTGTTTAAAACTCATAGATTTTTTTTTTCAAAATCCCTGATTTTTTTTTTATCCCTATGATGCAGAGCTTTAGTGATAGTACTCTTCCAGAGCAACAGCTCAGCTTTGTTTCTGAAACAGCCTTTTTCCTAATGCAGGAAATTAAAAACGCAAATACCCCACGCTAGTCAATCAGGAGAGCAGCGTTGTGAATGTTAGGGCTTTGAGGATACAAATTAGGGAATTAGCTTTTTCCTTAACAGAAGTATATTCACTAAGTAATTTGCTTTCTTTAACTGGAGTTATCCCCTTCCATTAACTGGAGGAATAAGTCCAAATTAAAATCACTGTTCATCAATTACTGGTGGAGGCATGCTCATGCCCGCGGAAGGGACCAGGCAATAAAGCTCATCCACTATAATTTTAATCACTGTTTAATCAGAGCTCTCAACAGGGATAATTTGGGGTAGGGGAGAAATTGGAAACTCTCAGTTATTGTTGGCATGAGGGCAGATATTGCTGAGGACTTTTGATTTATTTACTCATTAAAATTTTCAGCAAATTTTAATTCTTTTCCTTGTTCAATGCAAACTTGCTATGCACTGGAAAGAGAGTGGTGAATATAATGATGTAGTTCCTATTACATTCTAGGCGAAGGGAAAGTTAATACATGAGAAGTCATAATTACAAATCGTGGTGAGTACTTCATAGGAAGGGAACAGGGTCAGAAAAAGAATAATGGGGAGATGCCAGATTACCTTGTGGAGTCCTGGAACCCTTAAGAAGGGACATTAAGCTTTTGACTTATCAAAATAGTAATCAAGGAATTAAATGGGTATATTTTGTTCACTGTTTCCTTTATGAGATTGCTAGAGGCCCGGTGCACCACATTCGTGCACTCGGTGGTGGGGGGTGGAGGGGACAGTCCTTCAGCCTGGCCTGCACCCTTTCACAGCCCAGGAGCCCTTGGGGGATGTCCGACTGATGGCTTAGGCCTGCTCCCCACAGTCGGACATCCTTAGCGCTGTTGTGGAGGCAGGCTGCTGTGCTCGTCGGTCAGCTATCAGCTCAGCTTGTGGCTAATCAGCGCTCCCCCTGTGGGAGTGCACTGACCACCAGGGGACAGCTCCTGCATTGAGCGTCTTCTCCCTGGTGGTCAGTGTGCATTATAGTGACCGGTTGATTCACCATTCGGTTGATTTGCATATTACGCTTTTATTATATAGGGTATGCTCTTTGGCTATGGGAGTTGTGTGCGTTTTATAAGTTCAGAATCAGCACAGTGCCTGGCCTACATAGGAAATCAGTTAGTGTTGGTAGAATGAATAAATGAATATGAAAGAGAACAACAGAGGCAGAAAATAGGTACAAAAGAGAAAGAAAACTGCGGACACAAAACTTTGCAAGCTGATTGTCATATCTCATATTTCATGGCTCAGCTCTCTATTCCAGTTCATTTGAAAATGGTCTTTCATCCAAAAAAGGCAACTTTTGAAAGTGCTCAATTCTTTACACAATAAATGCAATTTTTCTAACCTCTTAAATCTTGCCAAGTGAGTAGGCATGGATATTATTGTTTTTCTTGAGATCCAGGAATGAATTCTTTTTTAAAAAACAGTACAATTTAACCCCTGTTATAGAGTTACATGACCCAGAAAATTTTAAGTTGCTTCAAGTACTTAAATGTAAATAAATTCTTATCTAAATCACTCAATTATCATTCAACAAGAAAAATGTATACAAACTAGGAAAGTATTTAGAAGAGTAGTCGTAGAATCTTTGATCTAAAACAAACATGTCAAACTCAAAAGGTTAACACAGGCCAAATAAATGAGGCATGCAGCCCGGGAGTTTGACCTGCTTGGTCTAAAATTTCCACTCCTGAGAGCAGCACACCAACAGATAAGAATGTCATTCAGAATGGCTCATTAGAGAGAAAGCAGGCAGAAAATGCCTGGCACATAAGGGATGTTTGACATAGTTTTTGTCTTATATCTAGACCAAAGGAAAACCTGGATTTACTGCTAAACTCTTAAATCATGTCTTCAATATGTAACTGTGGAAAAGTTGAGTATGTGATTTTTTTAAAAATGTTTTTATTTATTTTTAGAGAGAGAGGAAGGGAGGGAGATAGAGAGATAGAAACATCTATGAGAAACATCATTGATTGGCTGCCTCCTGCATGCCCTCTACCTGGGATCAAGCCTGCAACCCAGGCATTTGCCCTGACTGGGAACCTCTTGGTTCATGGGTTGACGCTCAACCACTGAGCCACACCAGCCGGGCAAGTTGAGTATGTTTTTTTGTATGCATAAATAATAGTCTTAAACTACCTTTCAGTTATAACATGCAGTCATCACTCTACGATTTAAAAATTTAAATGAAAAGTAGTCAATGGAATTGAAGACAGTGCATGGTAGCCAGTCTAATAAAACATTAAGGAACGAATTCATGTTCCCAAGAGTGTCTATCTACAGATACAGAAGCTGTTCTTAGTTTCCGATGGACATTCTGTTTGCGCATCTCAAAACACAAAGGGCACTGACATACGCATACCACAGTTTTTCCCTTTAAAGAGAGGTGCAACTATCCACACAGGCAAGACAAGGTTTCACATTTTAAATATGGTTTCCATTTGAAATCAAATTCCTTACAACGAGAACATGTCTTTACCATTGGCAAAGGGAGTCCCCTAGGAAAAAAAAAAGTAAACAGATGGCTGAGAAAGATCACCCACATGCTGCACACAGATCTTGAGGAGGCATTTCTAAGAATGAAGTGGCACTTCCCAGCCTGGGCCACTGCCCACCAGGATCCTTATTTAACCCACAGAAAAGAGCGTTTATACCTCCAGCCAAGCAGAACCCCAGCTTCCTTTGCCCAGTTCCCTCCCAGTAACCCAGACTAGTTTTCAACTCTCCCCAAGATTCCAAAAGAAGCTAAGCACCAACCGCTTGAGACAGATAATCCTCTAATAAATCAGTGTTCGATGATCAGCCCTGAACTAACATCTTCCCATCGAAACGGGCTGTTAAGCCCCAGCTACGCATATTAAGCATTCAATTTAATGTATGACACACATCTGTTCCACTTTCTCAGCGAGCAGAAGTTTCAAGATAACTTAAATCCCAGACTTAATCAAGGAGAAAAAAATTCTTGGCAGTGTTTAAAGCTGGTTTTTAAAATATAATCCAAATGAGAGCGGGAGAGACCATTTTGCTGTAACTAATGAGATTACATAATACCTAAATCAAATCTGTAAAAATTACCTGAGCAGAAGCACTGCCTCTTTCAACGGAGTCTATTTATCTTTCCTTTGGTTGCACCAACCTTTACCAAAGACCTTTACCTAGAGCTGGCCCAAAGCATCAAAATAAAAACAAAAATAAATCTTCTGCAAACCCCGTAACTTAACCCCTCAGTGCCCAGAGGCCTGAAGAGCAAAACTCACAGATTTGTCCTTGACAAGGAGAGCACAGCACTGAATTCCCGCCATCAGCATCTTGTGGGGGTTCCAGGCCACAGAATCAGCTCTGTTATGTAAAACAAAAACAAGGACAAGGTGGGGGGGCGGGGGGGGGCAGGGGGCATTAGTCTCTACCGGAGGAAAGAATACTACCATCGGCAGCATGCCGGGAGCCGGTCCATGCTTGCTGTTTCAAGGGACCTGGCATATATGGCATACTGTTCTTAATATGTTTGCTCACCTTCTTGGCACTGTGTTTTAACCAAGGTCTCCTCTCTGAGAAAGGTTGTTTCCCCAGGTAGGGATCTTCCCCTGAAGTTAGGGAGGGAATAAAACCCCTCAACTAAGTGCCAGGTGGGTAATTAATCACTTTAACTATGAACAATCATGCTTAAGCTACATAATCTTTACTCCCTGGAATGGAGATAAGAAACGCCCTAACCTTTGTAATAGAGATTGATAGGATTGAATCAACTGGTATAAATACAGATGTAACAAGACAGCAACAGACAGAACTCAGAAGACAGAACGAAGAGAGACGGAACCTAGGCACAGAACCTACACAGAACGTTCTCTAGAGACAGAAGAACTTCGCTGGAGAGAACATGGCAAAAGATCCTGGACTGAACCTGACTACAAAAATTGGCAAGAGAACCTGACTATAGAACCTGGCTGGATAACCTGGACAGAACCTGGCTGGAGAACCTAGCAAGAGAACATGGACACAGACCCTGGCAGGCGATCCTAAGCAGAACTTCGCTGGAGATCCAGACCAGAACTTGGCTGGAGATCCTGGCTGGAGATCCTGGCTAGGCTGCTGATCAACTGAACACTGTCTCCGTGTCATTCCTTCTTCGCCAACTCCGTCTACACCTTTGGGGACCCCTGGACCTGCTGGGGTTGGACCCCGGCATCTGGCGCCCGAACAGGGACCCCTAGGTAAGCCCCACTCTCGGGATGGATAGGACTCCACCGTAGGAAGACGGTGGATAGCCTTCGCCGACTCCGTCCACACCTTTGGGAACCCCTGGAACAGGATTCCCTTAGGTAAGCCCCCCCCATTGAGAACCCCACACTCGGGACGGATAGGACTCCACCAGAGTACTGCAGACCCCCCTATAGAGGATAAGTAGGGTAAGAAGGTGGATAGTACAGAACTTAGATTGAGAAGATGTGCCATATTGAGTCCAAAGAAAGACTCTGTATTGATCTTTAGATTAAGAAGATGTGCCATACTGAGTCTAAAGAAATAAGACTCTGTATTGATCTTTTAACACATATGCTTGCTAGCAGAGGAATTAAGGTTACTCCCAGTCAGACAGAACGTTTTATACAAGAAGCATGTCCATGCTTTTCTGAGGAAGGAAAGGTAAATGTAAAGGCATGGGAGGAGGTAGGCCCAAGGAGCCTTATCCTTAACCCCACTGCAGCCTTTCCACCCCGGGAAAGTGCAGGATTGGCAAGCTCTCCCTGGGGTGATAGGTCAGGACTCAGGTAATAGAGGAAAGCGCCAATCCTACTCTTAAAATGGATACAAGAGAGCATTTGGGTTTTTTTCTTTTTAATGCCTCCTTTTAAAAAATAAAAAAGGGGGAATTTGCCGGGAGCCGGTCCATGCTTGCTGTTTCAAGGGACCTGGCATATATGGCATACTGTTCTTAATATGTTTGCTCACCTTCTTGGCACTGTGTTTTAACCAAGGTCTCCTCTCTGAGAAAGGTTGTTTCCCCAGGTAGGGATCTTCCCCTGAAGTTAGGGAGGGAATAAAACCCCTCAACTAAGTGCCAGGTGGGTAATTAATCACTTTAACTATGAACAATCATGCTTAAGCTACATAATCTTTACTCCCTGGAATGGAGATAAGAAACGCCCTAACCTTTGTAATAGAGATTGATAGGATTGAATCAACTGGTATAAATACAGATGTAACAAGACAGCAACAGACAGAACTCAGAAGACAGAACGAAGAGAGACGGAACCTAGGCACAGAACCTACACAGAACGTTCTCTAGAGACAGAAGAACTTCGCTGGAGAGAACATGGCAAAAGATCCTGGACTGAACCTGACTACAAAAATTGGCAAGAGAACCTGACTATAGAACCTGGCTGGATAACCTGGACAGAACCTGGCTGGAGAACCTAGCAAGAGAACATGGACACAGACCCTGGCAGGAGATCCTAAGCAGAACTTCGCTGGAGATCCAGACCAGAACTTGGCTGGAGATCCTGGCTGGAGATCCTGGCTAGGCTGCTGATCAACTGAACACTGTCTCCGTGTCATTCCTTCTTCGCCAACTCCGTCTACACCTTTGGGGACCCCTGGACCTGCTGGGGTTGGACCCCGGCATCTGGCGCCCGAACAGGGACCCCTAGGTAAGCCCCACTCTCGGGATGGATAGGACTCCACCGTAGGAAGACGGTGGATAGCCTTCGCCGACTCCGTCCACACCTTTGGGAACCCCTGGAACAGGATTCCCTTAGGTAAGCCCCCCCCATTGAGAACCCCACACTCGGGACGGATAGGACTCCACCAGAGTACTGCAGACCCCCCTATAGAGGATAAGTAGGGTAAGAAGGTGGATAGTACAGAACTTAGATTGAGAAGATGTGCCATATTGAGTCCAAAGAAAGACTCTGTATTGATCTTTAGATTAAGAAGATGTGCCATACTGAGTCTAAAGAAATAAGACTCTGTATTGATCTTTTAACACATATGCTTGCTAGCAGAGGAATTAAGGTTACTCCCAGTCAGACAGAACGTTTTATACAAGAAGCATGTCCATGCTTTTCTGAGGAAGGAAAGGTAAATGTAAAGGCATGGGAGGAGGTAGGCCCAAGGAGCCTTATCCTTAACCCCACTGCAGCCTTTCCACCCCGGGAAAGTGCAGGATTGGCAAGCTCTCCCTGGGGTGATAGGTCAGGACTCAGGTAATAGAGGAAAGCGCCAATCCTACTCTTAAAATGGATACAAGAGAGCATTTGGGTTTTTTTCTTTTTAATGCCTCCTTTTAAAAAATAAAAAAGGGGGAATTTGCCGGGAGCCGGTCCATGCTTGCTGTTTCAAGGGACCTGGCATATATGGCATACTGTTCTTAATATGTTTGCTCACCTTCTTGGCACTATGTGTTTTAACCAAGGTCTCTGAGAAAGGTTGTTTCCCCAGGTAGGGATTTTCCCCTGAAGTTAGGGAGGGAATAAAACCTCTTAACTAAGTGCCAGGTGGGTAATTAATCACTTTAACTACGAACAATCATGCTTAAGCTACATAATCTTTACTCCCTGGAATGGAGATAAGAAACGCCCTAACCTTTGTAATAGAGATTGGTAGGATTGAATCAACTGGTATAAATACAGATGTAGTAAGACAGCAAGACACAGAACTTAGAACACAGAACCAAGAGAGACAGAACCTAGGCACAGAACCTACACAGAACGTTCTCTAGAGACAGAAGAACTTCGCTGGAGAGAACATGGCAAAAGTTCCTGGACAGAAACTGGCCTCAGAACCTAGAGACAGAACCTAGCGAGAGAACATGGCAAAAGATCCTGGACTGAACCTGACTACAGAAATTGGCAAGAGAACCCGACTAGAACCTGGTGACTGAACCTGGCTGGAGAACCTGGACAGAACCTGGCTGGAGAACCTAGCAAGAGAACATGGACACAGGGCCTGGCTGGAGATCCAAACCAGAACTTCACTGGAGATCCTAAGCAGAACTTCGCTGGAGATCCAGACCAGAACTTGGCTGGAGATCCTGGCTGGAGATCCTGGCTAGGCTGCTGATCAACTGAACACTGTCTCCACGTCATTCTTTCTTCGCCGACTCCGTCCACACCTTTGGGGACCCCTGGACCCGCTGGGGTTGGACCCCAGCAGCAGCACACACACGTTCAGTACTCATACCCAAGGTAGTACTCAATGGGATTCCTTGTTGAAGTAGTCTAGGGCAGTAGTCAGCAAACTCATTAGTCAACAGAGCCAAATATCAACAGTACAACGATTGAAATTTCTTTTGAGAGCCAAATTTTTTAAACCTAAACTATATAGGTAGGTACATTGTCATTAACTTAATTAGGGTACTCCTAAGGCCTAGGAAGAGCCACACTCAAGGGGCCAAAGAGCTGCATGTGGCTCGTGCACCGCAGTTTACCGACCACTGGTCTAGGGAATTTGGAGTTTTGGGTTTTTTTTCTTTGAATAAAGCAATTACGTTGTTTCTCTGTCTATTTTCAGAATGTCATGTAAGTGGGAAAAATCCAGAGAGATTCCCATGCCTCGACCAAAGGTGCTGCGTGTGGGGAGCGACATTTACCTGTGGATGCCATGCAGAAGCCGGCGGTGCTTCCTGGACATCAAAGCCGAGCCACCCCAAGAAGCCTGTTGAGAAAAGTGTATAACCAAAACCAATGTTATCTCAGTGTTATCTGTTCACCAGCCAACTGCCCCAGAAAACCCCGAGGGACAACCTCAACCTGCCTTGCTACTTTGTTTTAAGTCCATGCTAACCAATTTGTATGCCAAGAAAAATTGATTACTGTCTCTGCCAAGGCAATCAGAGCCTCGTCACGACAGAGGGCTCCCTATGGACTCTTAGGGTGTACGTTCACACATCTTACAAAGAAATTGGCATATTAACTTGTTGAGCTGTGTGGGATCCAAAAGGTTTAAAAGACACAGTCTATACCTTCTCAAATCTTAGAATCTAAAGTAGTCAATATAACCTTACAACACCAAGATTCTATCATACCCAAGGCACCAATGCTGATAACGAGTCAGGAACGAAGGCCTGGCATTCTATCTAATAAACGTGGCACGTGCTTAACAAGGTGGGTAGAAGGGAATATAGGAATTCATAGCCAACTACCTTCAGCTAGGAGGAAATAGATCCTATGATTGAAAAATTAGATCTTTTCAGCCAAATAGCTTTCAGGTATATTTACGAGTCAAAAATGTGAGAGAAAGGAAAAACCTGGGATTTAAGGAAGTTATTCATTGCAAAGGTAAATATGAGCAAAGGAGCAGGGAACTAAGAATAAGGAGAGGAAAGAAAATCCCATAGTCAATAAGTCTAGAAAGGAGGGAGGAAGCATCAATGTGAGGAATAAGAAAGTCAGTTTGGTTCCTGAAATTGAGCAAACTTCTCAGTTTAATGTGTAGGGCAGTGAAGGGCGATTGCAGTGAGGAAACATGAGGAGATTGTCTTGGGCTATGTCGAATGCTCTCCAAGGCTATTTCACTGCACAACATTGCACTGAGAATGGAATTATTATCACTTCAAATTTTCATAGAAAAAAACTAAGGTTCAGAGGTGGTAGGTAGACTGCCCAAGGTCTCACAGGTAATAAAAACCAGATCTGGGAGCCAGAGCTCATCCTCTCTTCACAATAGCATCATAACCAGGGAAGGTGACCAGTTTGCCAAATGGTAGAGTGCAGCATGGATAATTGAGGGTGATGGAAGTATTATAGGCAGGAGGCGAGTTTAGGAACTGCCTAGGATGTAGACTACCCTATTTTAGGCTATAGAATTTAAAAAGATGATGCATACCCAGTATCATGTGGAAAGAGGGGCAGGGTTTTGTGTACCACAGATGTGGAAGGTGACAGAAATGAGACATCTCCATGATCCTCAGACTATCGCAAAAGCTGAGCACGTTGGTGGACAATAAGGCATGGCTTTAAATTGCACCTATGAACAGCTCTCTCATTTAGGGCTGGAATACAGTGACTGTGTCACCTAAAGTGCACAATTTAAGAAGGCACACACTCTCAGCGTTGGGCTCTTACATGGCCCTAAGAGTGAATCCCTTCTTATCTTGAGTCCTAGGAACCTTATTTGTGTCACCTTAATTCCATCCCTGTTTGCATGGACTAGGACAGTGGTCGGCAAACTGCGGCTCGCGAGCCACATGCGGCTCTTTGGCACCTTGAGTGTGGCCACGAAGTTTCGATCGCACTGTACGTGAGTGCCCGCACATGGTATTTTGTGGAAGAGCCACACTCAAGGGGCCAAAGTTTGCCGACCACTGGACTAGTGTCTCCAATACGCCCACAGGGTTCCCAAAGGTCTGTGAACAGGGGGTGGTATGCATGCAAATCCCAAAGATTCCCAGTTACAGTACCGATGACTTCTGTCTTCGGGTTGTCAGTCAAGCCCCTCTTGCTGCACTCTTCCCCACGGGCTTTCCTGAGGGACCATGTCTGACTAAGGCTGAGATACAGAGACAACTGCCTTCAGCATCTAAGAAAACTGTATCCTGGCCTACTAACTGAGGATCCCCAATTCAGATTTTGAGATCTTTACTTTCACAAACCTTAAGATGACTCACCTATTACGTTCTCTCACTTCCATTACACACCCTGAACACCGAGTTGCCTACTTTTTTTCTCAATCCTTTTATCCCCAACTTCACTGAGAACCTACCAGTGACAGTTATGAGAAGGATTAAGAGTAAGACTCAGACACACCCATTTACGCTCTTATTCTTTCCACCTGCCTCACCTAGGATGCACTCCTTTGTGTCTCCTACACTACCTTCTGTCTCCTCTCCTTCCCCCAAAAGTAAACAATATTCTCCCAATCCTAGTGAGCTGGATTAAAGTTTTCAAGTCACATGCATTCTTTCAAGGTGTGGTACACTGGTTTACAGAGTGGTCAGGCGGGTAAGGAACAACTCATCCACAAACGTATTCCTCAAAAAAAGCTGGAAGGAGAAAAACAACACCGCTAGTGTTATGCCTACTTCTGTTTGTGCAATGTTCTAAATCCTAACTCCAAAACTTGCAAAAACAACAAACAAATCGCCTACAGAATGAAGGAGCTTGGTTTTCCATCTCAATAAGGACTATCATTTATTGAGCTATTACTATATGTTAGGCACCACAGTTAGCATTTTACTTGCATATTTTCTTTAATTACTTAGGTCATAAGTAGGCCCAATCCTAAAAGGAAGGTGGGTGGAGGCAGGGGTAGAATTGAGACACAGCAGCATGTAAAGCCCATGATGTGAAATATAATGTTTACTACCCTGCTGGGACTTGGAATGAAGAGTGGGTGGGAGATGCAGGAAGCTTTGCTGGGAGTGTGAGGCTTTGCAGCAGCCACAGCCTCTGTTTCGGAGAAGAGCTGGGCCAGCCCTGACATCCTGGCCTCCCACCCACAGGCAGAGGCTAGGAGAATAATTTGCTGTCACGGAAGATGAATAGAACTGGAGGCAAAAAATGTCAACAAGACTAGGTTTTTATTATTCAGTTGTTTAAAAATGTATTGTAATTAACCAAATTTAAGACACTATCAAATGTGAGACTCATCATTTTTGGTTACCACTGATAAAGAAAAGAATGGTATCAACATACCAATTCCAGACATGTGAAAAATGTAAAAAAAAATATTTCTCAGAATTAATAAATTTTAGTATATATGCAGGGCAACTCTTTTTGTTTGTTTGTTGTTGTTGTTGTTTTGCAAAACCCAAAAGAATAAGAAATCAGAATTTCATTTTTTTAAAAAAAGAAAGTAAATACCAGTTTTTAATAATTTAAAGTATCTTTAAAACACTCTTTAGAAAATTTCCGACAGGTAAATGTAATTAAGGCAACTTTGGTAACTTTTTATCTTTAAAATGAATAAACTCTGCGTGGTATAAAAAGGTAGAATAGCAACAGATTCAATGTCTGCAATACTAAAGAATGGGGGATCACTGCCTCTATGTTGGAGCTAATTTCTATAATAGGCCAGACAAACTGCTGTCAAATTTACTCTAATGCTACAGGCATTCATTACATGCAAACATAATAATTTGCGTGGCTTACATATTTCCTTTTAGGAAGTGTTTCCTTCCAAAATTCAACCTTTCATTTTTAGAAAACCTGGTGAGGTTTTTATTCATACTTGTAAATCACAGTTCTCTCTAAGCCCCATAAGTCTCTTAATATCATTTCCAATTTAGACACTGCTGTAGTTACTGTTTTATATAAACTACACAATCCATATTTGATGTTTTTTTATGAGAGTAGAATTTTCAAGTATACATGCTAATGTATTTCCCCCCTCATTTCCACAGTTACAGAAGTACTTACTTCCATATTATCTTTTAGGACATAATGTATTATTATGCTTCTAAGTCTATAAAAATCAATAGGATAGAAGTTGAAATGTAAACAGATACAAGTATTACAATTCCACTTAAAGAAGTCACAAATAACCTACCTGAAATATTGCCATTGACATACTAATAGAGCCTGTAACTCTAGTGGGTTTATGTCACTGCTGCTTTTACCGTACATTAGCATGCATCTAATTAAAGCCTTGAGTTGCTGAAAAATCTCTCCCCATCATATCATAGATGCTTTACTTTGAAGGCATAAAACCATCCAAACTATAAAATTCTGTGTAGGGACAGCCTCCCAATGCTCAGCTACCTTCCTTTCAGCAAGTCAAAAATATTATGCTTTCTTTTTTTCTGATAAAGAGGCTATGAGCCACTCACTTACCAGAGGAAGGCTCCCTAAAGTTTCATCAATATGTTCAACTCCTGATTTCACACACACACACACACACACACACACACACACACACACACAAAGAAAACGCTCAACAAGCATTTATAACTGCCTGAATTCAACCTTTTAACTTTAGATAAATATAATTTTAAGAATGACCTTTAATTAAGGAAGAAATTATTATAACTCCAAGACTTACAAACTTAATTAGAAAAAAAAGGCCAATCCTTTCAGTGTAAAAGTTATGAAAAATGTAAAGTATCCCAGTCCCTCTCAAATAATTATCTATAGCAGATCTAGATAAAACCTGCTTTAATTAGAGCATGAAATTACATAGGGAAGCTTGTTACCTTTATTGGCTGATTGGTATCATATAATTTTAAGGCTAGAAGATGCTTTACAGACTACACCAGCCATTTCCCTCTTTACAAATGAAGACGCCAAAGCCCAGAGGGCTGAGGTCACAGTGACAAAGGAGGCCAATTCAAATCCAAAGTCTCCTGACTAGATAGGCCAGAATGTGTCCCTTCACCATGCTGCTCAATGACAGTAGATTCAAAGGACCAGAGAAAAGGGTTCATGGGGAAAGCGGGAATAAAATGGGATCCAGAAAACGGAAACAAAATTCACATCAAGTCTTAGCCTACCCTTCTTTATACCTTAGAAAAAAAGACATATCTATTTCCTCCAATTCGAAATGTAAATAAAAGCTGGGGACCTCACATCTAGTTTCTGAGAAAATGAAAGATTTCCCACCAAAGCTGCAAAAAGACTAGAAAGCTAAGCAGATGTGTACATACAGATGAACTTACATCCACGTGAAGCCAGAGGCCATGCCTCTCGCAGACATCAGCTATTTCATCCAGCGGATCAAACGCGCCCAACACCGTTGTACCCGAGGTGGCACAGACAAGAAACGGTGCTGCTCCCTGTGAAAAGGACCCATGCGTGAGAACTGTCACCATCACCTCTAAGTTTACCCTGTAATAGGTTGGTACATTATAAAGGTTCTAACATATCCAGAAATGTATTTAGTTCTTGGAGATGATCACTGCTTCAGTGACTGTTTCTAAGCTTTTTCACTATACAATAGTTTTGTATTATAAATAGATTAAGATAAAAGAAAAGGCTACAATAGTAGTCCTTTGTCCCAACTCAATATTTTTAGTTTCATTTTCTTTCTATAGCCTTTTCTGTTCGTTGCTTTCCTAGATAGAAAGTAAATAACCTCATCCCCATTGGCAAACTGGCATTATGTAGGATTCCTAACTCCTCGGGGAGATTCATTGGGCCTCCAGAATGCCAATGCTGTTACCCTTCTCCAAAATAAAAAGGGCTGTTTGGAAGACAAACAGTCAGCTCCAGGGACAGAGCACGCAGGCCTGTGGGCTTGCGTATGAGCAGTTACAAAACAGAGTGTGTGCTCAGGTACAAACTCGGCAAGGTAACCTCACTGGGATCCACTCTCCAAAACAGGTGCTGCAACAGAGAAGTGTGGTAGAATGTGCTAGAAGAGAGAAGCTGCATAGCTTCTACGGTGATTATTCCTCCTCATCTAGCTGATGGCTGTATCTTGAGGAGTGAACAGGTGCCCGAAGGAAATGGAGAGAAAGGGAGGATGTGGGACACATGTAGAGATGAGTGGTAATCCCAGCCAACCAAACCAGCACCTTGGCCCTGTAAGGGAGTTCATGGCAATTAGGTAGAGGATAGACAGTCTGTGAGTTTGTTTTTCATGGATCATCCCAGCATGTCAGCAGAGAAATGTTACTGCTGTGGAAGTGCCTTAGAGGAAAAACTTTCAGACAGAGGTAGGTGGGGATGGGGGGGGGTGGGGGGGGAGAAGGGGAGTGTAAGGAGAAGCCTACTATTCTAGCACCTGAGGAGTAAGTGACAAGAACATTTATTGCCCATTAAGTTCATTCTTACCTCCGTTTAGGATGGAATCATTTTTTCCTTAGTTTTATTTTCAAGTGCAGGTGGTTCTTACAAAATAAGTTTACATCCCATTTTATTGTTGTGGGTTCTAACCAGACTCACTCCAATCTAGCTGACCATTGACAGAGATATCATTTCTTAATGGAAAGGAGGGCAGAGCAAGGGCACTTAGTCCACATCTCAAAGTAACGGTACACAATGAATCCATTTGCCATTTAGGCAGAAGGTTGTGATACTTATAACCTAGTCCAGTGGTCGGCAAACTCATTAGTCAACAGAGCCAAATATCAACAGTACAACGATTGAAATTTCTTTTGAGAGCCAAATTTTTTAAACTTAAACTATATAGGTAGGTACATTGTTATTAACTTAATTAGGGTACTCCCAAGGCTTAGGAAGAGCCGCACTCAAGGGGCCAAAGAGCCTCATGAGGCTCACGAGCCGCAGTTTGCTGACCACGGACCTAGTCCATCCACCCAAACTTCTCAGAGTGAGACCAGGAGGTGACAGAGTCCCTGGGGACCATGGGCTTTGAGAATTCTTCCCTTCACTCATGTACCAACAGATCATACCTTTATCAGGGCAGAGAACTAAAGGAAATGGGACCAGGTTTATATCAATCATCAAAAGCAATAGAAAAAGTAATTTACTAAAGCCATTTACGTTGTCTTTAATGGTTGAGCTTTGCCTCATAAACTATATGACATCCTGACAGTGGTGAGAAAACACCTATGCAAGCTATCATAGCGTATTAATGACTTTTTCTCACCTTTTTAATAATCTAGCTATAAATATCAGTCCCTGAAATTAAACTTTTGCCATCTGGATTTAACCTTCCAGATTTTTCCTTTCACACATCTCATGCGATTAATAAGAAAATTCAGTGGAAACAGAATTGATGGTGTGCTGACAATATCCTGTTTTCCCTAAGAAATTTTGTCATTTCAAAAGTCATATGCAAAAATACTCCCAAATATTCAGTGGTTACACTAGTTTTATCTCTGCATAAGCACTTCAGAGCCTCGGACGCCTCTGTGGTTTTCAGCATCCAGCAAAGGTCACTGCTCAACAGATTTGTAATGGATTGTGGCTGGCCAGGGAATTGAAGCCCAACAGAAAAAAAAAAAGTGGATGCACAATTTCCTACATCTGAAACAATCCAAGTTAAACGCTTAAAACAGAGCAACTAGGTCTGAAGCTATTGAGAAAAAATAACCTAGTCATCGGGTATTATTATCTCAGAACGGATGTGAGGTTTGTCCTTGGTGGGTCCCGGCCCCCATTTTAGCTGACTTGAAAGAAAGCAGAGGAGACATACTGACTCTCACCCCATTGCCCTACTTTAAAATGTGCCTAAAGCAATTTTTACTTTTGAGAAACTTCTCTTTTCAGGTTCTCACCTTAAGACAAGGGCAGTTTCATGCATTTTAATTGTTAAAGCAAAGCAACATTTATGCGGTGAAGATAATAATGATTGCAGTGGGATAAAACCCATCGAATATACTAGAAAATGAGTTCCTAATGATACTTAATGATTTGACTATCTTTAGGGGATGCTAGGCAACTAACTCGCTCTTCTGAAAATTAGTAAATCAGGGGAAAGAAGAAAACGTGGATCCTGCCGTGTCTGTGAAAACTGTTTCCTTAGGGAAACCAGATAGGGATGAGGGAACATTTTTCCTTACAGTAGTATGCCTGCCAATAAATGGAGGAGGAACAAGAAAATAAATTAGAACATCAGCTACTGAAACAATGGGTCTAGACAAGGGTCGTCAATGGCAGGAAATCCATGAGGCGAGAGGAGGATGCAGAGCTCTCTAACAGGTGGGCTGACAATACCGGAACCCACCAATCAATGTTACCACAGAAAGAGACAAGAGATGCCTCCTCATGGAAGGACAAAATTTACCCACAAATAATCCCGCCAACATTTCCAATCTGAATCTCACCGAGTCTCAAGATCTAACTGTCAAATTACAAGAAATATAGAGAACAGATGGGTGGTGCAGAGGAGGGGAGCACTTGAGTCTCAAATGTGTGATGCAGTCTACATAATTCATAATGTGGAAAACTACCACACTAATGGATGTGGTTTCTTCAACAGATCAATTGTAAGAGTAAAAAAAAAAAAAAAAAAAAAAAAAGGAGGAGGGGGAGCTATAGCCTAGAAGAGATTTATATGATGAATCAATCAAATGCAACATATAGGCCTGTTATGAATCCTTATTGAAACAAACCAACTATTTTAAAAAAGGAATGGGAGAAATTTAAATATAGAGTGGATATTTGATGATATTAAGAAATTATTCCTTGAAATGGTATTACTGTTGTTTTTATTGATTTCAGAGAGGAAGGGAGAGGGAGCGAGAGATAGAAACATCAATGATGAGAGAGAATCATTGATTGGCTGCCTCCTGCACGTACCTACTTGAGAACAAGCTTTCATGGCTATAGTTCACAGGTGAACAAGGTGGTGGTAATCTAGAATTTTACCAAGAGGCAACGAAATCTGATCATCTCTACCACCAAACAACTTCAAGTCTACCCGCCATTGGAATGTTTTAAAAAATAAAGACAAATGTAGATCTAAGCAAATACATATGCAAAAAAGGCAAAAATTTTAAGTACAGTATTTTAAACCAAATATAATAACCTAGCATGCTCTGGATAAGGTGATTTTTATTAAAAAAATTAAACTATAAAGAGTAAAATAACAGAAATATAATATCAAAATTTTAAAAATTAAAAATAAGAGAACGCATTTTTTTTTTTAGAGTGTGCAATCCTATGAGGGAGAGATACATCCCAGGTCAGAAGCTGGGCTTTTCATTATTCAGCAGCCACACCTGACTTTGTTGCTACCTGCTGGAAAGTTACAGGAGAATAGTCTGAAGCCCCTTTTGCAATGAGGACTCTGCTGGGATCGGGAGGGAAGCAGTGAAGAAGTAGGTGCGCCTAAGCCAGCAGGTCCAAGAAGCAAGAGGGCTGGCACCAAGAAGGCAACATACCTCAAAAGCAGGTGTCAAGGCCAGCCCTCGCTAGGGTATCACAGGTGAGCATGGTCATGCCTTGCTTTCCCCAGTGACAGACATGTCAGCTTTAATACATCCTGGCAGCTGAGAGAGAACATTCTTCCAGAGCTGAAATATCAGACCCAGACTCAGTACAGGATGGTGGTTGTGAATGGACTTTGGGTAGAAGCAATCTGGGAGGATAGGTTGATCAGGATGTCAGGAGTCATTTTGAATGCAACAGAGACCATTGGTTTGGGCTGCAGAATTCTCAGAGTCAGGAGTTTTGTAGGAGAGTGGTTGTGGGGGCCCTGCTGGAGAGGCTGAGTTCACTATTTTTTTATGGTAATCTTTACCCAGAGGATGTTTTCTAATTGATTTTTAAAGGGAGTAGAAGGGAGGGAGGGAAAAAGAGGGAGGAAATGAGGGAGGGAGAGAGAGAGGGAGAGGGAGAGGGACAGGGAGAGGGACAGGGAGAGGGACAGGGACAGGGAGAGGGACAGGGAGAGGGAGAGAGAGATTGATTGATGTGAGAGAGAGATATCCATTGACTGCCTCCCTCACCATCTGGGGCCAGGGATTGAATCTGCAATCCAGGTACATTCTCTTGACCAGGAATCGAACCTGTGACCCTTCAGGCCAATGCTCTAATCACATAGCTTCATCAGCCAGGGCGGGGTCCACCTTTTAAGGATAATTCTAGTCAAGAATCCTGAATATGGTGATGTCAGTGTTTTAATAGGTGCTGGCCACCTGGGATGAGAACATCCAAGAAACTGCACAGAACACGAACCAAGCACCTGGAAATAGAGCACCTGGAAATAAGTCACTGCATTTTAATTCTCCCATGCTCTCTCCTCTGCCTCCCCCCCCACCCCGCCCTCAGAAATGGGTGTGACTGCTTGCATTCCCCCCTGGCAATCTCACCCCCACACCCAGATACATGCATACATTTTCTTTCCCTTTTTTTCTTTCTCCCCTCTCACCTGTTTTCTGGCTTGCCTGATTTGCTTCTCCAGTTCCTCAGGTATCATTTTACCTCTAAGAGACACAGATTTGAGACGTCCAGTTATGTTTAGCAGTGAACACATACTGGTACTGCTTTTTTAAAAGTAGGAATTTCCCCCTCCACCCACCAGGTTCCCGGATCCTGTCCCCATTACCTTCCATCTGTTTCCACAAAGCAGATATTCTCTGTACCAATCCCAAGAAAGGAGGCTGCCTTCTTCATGGAGTAATGACACTGAATTAAAGGGGAAAAGGGAAGAAAGAGACATGAATTCGTGGCATGAAAAAACTATTGCTTATTATCTAAATGGGTGTAAGTGATATGGCTGAGCACAATTTTTAAAACATTACTGCATAAAAGAAAAAGAAAGTATTAATTTAATTGAGCCCCTAACTGCAGTGGTTGAGAACACTGACTTTGATTGGAGTCAGAGAAAACAGGTTTAATTACAAGTTTTCCCAGTTATAGCTATAAAAGCTTAAACAAATAATGTACACTCACTAAACCTCAATTTGCAAATCTGTAAAATGGGCATGTCGATGCCTACTCCATCTTTGTCATAGAATTCAATGGGTTAATATATATAAAGGGATCAGCACAGAGCCTGGCATATGGAACACACTTGGTGGCTGGAGGCTGTTTTCCATAACATTGAGGAAAGTTTCTCTTGATGCTACTAAAACTCAGTAGCAAGAGAATCTAGTCCACTGCTAACTCAAAACCCTCCAGGAGTGAGCAAGACTCTGTCTCAAAAGTTATAATCCCAGATCACAGAAGAGTTTCATGATTTTCAACAGCAAACAATGGGTTATAAATACTGATTGGACACTTGACCAGTCTGGTTTAATATTCTATGGGCTTCATGTAGTAGGCAGAAAAGGTGCAATAATCTAAAGCATTAGTCTCATTTAATATTCAATGTAAGGCTGAAGTTAGACATACTAGAATGTGGCTAAAATCATAACAAAATTAATAATAATCTATAGACAGATTACTTTATGCAGCCCTGACATGAATGAGTCTAATGGCTCTGGAATTAGGTCTCATCTACTTCTTATTGGAGATAGTAGAATATGCTTTAGATTACTGCACCTTTTCCGCCTACTACATGAAGCCCGTAGATAATTAGCATTCAAACATTGGAGATGTCAGTCTTCATACATTAATGTGGACAGGTGGTCAATTAATTCTTTTTCAAGCCAGAAAAATTAAGTTGCTAACAGACATTATTGTACCCAAAAAACCTTAGTAATTTAATTTGTAGGTATGAATACATTAAGAGTAGTCATGCCTTCACACTTATCTTGATATATCCCCTCAAATGTGGTAATTTTCTTCTTTTGAAAAGGGAGTTTTATTGAAAGCTCTTAAAAAAAAAAATCTCTAAAAATAAATGCAGAGGTAACACCATCAGGAAAAATGAAACCACCCTAAATAATTAATTTCCAAATGTCAAATAGAACCTGTCCAAAATGCCTGTAGGTTGCATTCATTTCAGGTGGTTACAAAAACATATACATATTGAGGAGCCATGACTTATATGAAAAGGTAATTAATTCTCTACTTGCTACATCAGCCCACCATCGCAAAGGTGACAAAGGGAAGGCCAATTATTTCTCATGAAAGACTCGGGCTCTAGCAACCAAACAGCTATTGATTTCATAGTGATATCTGCCAAATAAGGAAAACCACATTGTTTTGCCCTTGGAAATAGCAAAATATCCCCAACTAATAGATCTGCTAAATAAAACACTGGTTATCAGAATAAGAATAGCCTCAGCGGAGCTATCTTTGGGTACTTCAGGGCTAAATATAGTCTGATGTCCATCTCAAATGCAGAGGGACAGATTAAACGCGGTCTGCAAAACTGAAGTCTGAGCATCTGAAAGCATCAGAGGAAGAAAAGAAAGAGGGCGATGCTTCAGACATGCTGAGCACTTTCAAGGAAAGGAAAACCTAGAAGGCTGAGCTCAGAGGGAAGAGCTGCATTTAGAAACAAGTGGTGGCCGCTCCCATCACTGGCAGGAGAGAAGTCGGCTGTTCTAAGACCCAATCCCCCTAGGTTTCATTCCTCTACAGCAGAAGCAAAAATCTCAGCGGGCGTTCACTGCTGTAAACTTAAAACAGCCAGTGCCTCCATGAAAGACAGACTGCACTGATCTTCCTTTCCGGTTCCAGCAAGGACTTTTCCCGTGACCTTGGGTTTCTCAATGAACCACTGTTTCCCCCTCCAGATGGTGTTCTGGATGCTTGGACTGCTTCTAGTGCTGCCCAGTTTGATGCTCAAACTGGCTCCGGGTGGCGGGGAGAGCAAGGGCCGTGAATGCTATATTCGAGGGAAGAAAGAAAAGTATGTCTCGGAGAGCACACACTGGTTCAGTGCCCAAAGCAGCGGAGCCGGAGGCCAGGCGGACTGATCTGCGCTCTGCAGGGCATCCTCAGAGCACCTGCTTGCCTGTGGAGAACACCTGCAGTCACATCCAACCCGCGGTCAAGACCAGGAGGCAGGGCCAGGGATAGGGAGAGTGAAGGAGGCCCCTCGGGTGCAAAATCTAAGGCAGCACGACCTGTGACATGCACCCTAGCGTCTCACTCGCCTCACCCCTGCCTCCATCCTGCTAGAGAGGAACTAGCACAACTGATAGCTGACCTGGAAGCAATAGGAGTTTCTTTTCTCCCCTCACTCTTTAGTGGCAAATGAGCGCTACTTTATGTTGACTCCCCAAATGATTTGAATGACAAACCTAAGATTTCTACAAATTCAAGGAATTCATAGTTACCTGCTAATCAAGTCACACATTTATTACTTTTGTTATTTCCCCCCAAAGTCCCCTTCTCTCTGGTTTCTATTTAGCCTGGAGAGGCCACCTTGGATGTGCTCACGGTCTACAGGTCTCTGTCATGATCTTCCAGGTTTCCACCAACAGCTGTATTGTAGTCAGAACTGGAAGTTTGCAAAAAGGTCTCCAGTGGTGGGTACATACATTCTGCATATGATGGGCCAAGGCAGAGATGCAGTAATTACCCTGGGTCATCTCGGGCAGCATAAAAACTGGGAAAGTCAGGCCACCTAACAAGCAATATGGGAAAATAACTACGGGCCATAGGCCAACACCCAAAAGAAAACAAGGAAGCCCTTATCAAGTTTGGCTCAGTGGACAGAGTGTTGGCCAGCGGACTGAAGGGTCCCAGGTTCAATTCTGGTCAAGGGCACATGCCCCAGTTGCGGGCTCGGAGGCAGCTGATCAATGATTCTCTCATCATTGATGTTTTTATCTCTCTCTCCCTCTCCCTTCCTCTCTGAAATCAATAAAAATAGGTCTTTTTATAAAAGACAAAAGAAAATAGGGGAAGATAGCAAAAAGATTAACGTTGGGTTTAAGATCAATTAGGTCTTCTTTAATTCTTTATTTTTAACTAAATGATGAATTGATTTGTTGTAATAAATGGGGAAGGTGGTCATAAAATATGAATTAGGATAATGCAAATGCTATGAACTGAGTCTCTTTGGCAGAACAGGGAAAGGAACAAGCTACAGGGTGGAGTCTGGATGGATGGGGTGAGAATATATAGTCAGGGCTATACTGTGGTTGAAGTTATGGAATTTCTCTGTGGAATTCCCATTGTTATATCAAAATTCATGTGTGTAATCCCCAGCCCCCAGTGTGATGGTATTGGTTAAGACTGGGTGAGATTAATGGCCGTATAAGAATAGGCATGGAAATAGGAACTCAAATGCAGGCGAGACTTTGATTCCTGATATACTAGGGGACCTCAAACTGAGATACCAAGGGTTGGAACCCAAAGAGGAAAACTCTACTCCATAATAATCCCAAATAACCAAGTGTTTTCCCCAGATGCCCACATTCCCAAATATTCTTCTCTTGCTATAGAAACAATGTCTCATGAAGAAGGGCCTTGGGGTGGCTGAGTAAAGAATCGCAAACTAGGTGATGCCTCCCAACACCCAATACCCACTTCACACTTAGCGCTGAACTAACCAGAGCAAAGGGCAGCCAGGACAGGAGGAAAACGTGGGGGTCTCTGTCAGGGTTTCCTTCCATGGTGGACCTCTTTGTACAATGTCCTTTGTGATAATAAAGTCACTTTTGCTCTTGAAGGAAAAGAACAGATACAGGAAAGCCCAGTGGGAAATAACAGGGAATTTTCAGATTCTGCCAGCCTTGTGTATTGCATAGGAGACCTAAGGTTATTGCAAAAGGTACAGAAGCTACACTCTCCTGCCAGGGACATGGGGAAAAAGCAGCTGTGGATGGGCAGAGGCACCAGTGGAATCACACAAAAACAGAAAAGAAAAATAATAGTGTCTTCCAGATAAGACGGCACGTAAGCTGTGCCATCTATTCTAACCACATAATTAGAGTTGGATCATTCTCTTCCCACTAATAACAAGAGCAAACATTTTTTTCTATCTTCTATGTGCCAAATGCTACTTTTCATGCATTAACTCATTCAGTCTTTGCAACACTCCACTGACCGGTGACCATTAAGCTCATGTGGCTGTTGGGTTGCTTTAATGGCCCAAATTGTTTACTGCTCCTGTGTCTATACCCTTTCCCAGAAGGCTTTGCAGCAAATATCCTTAAGAGGCAGACTATTTTCTCACTTCTTGTATCTGGGTTCCTAGACATGACTTAGTTTGCCAAGAAAATGAGGGAGACATGACAAGGTGTCAGTTCTGAGCCTAGAACTCGAGAATCCCAGAGGGCTCCCATGCAGTTGTGTTCCTGCTACCACTGCCATGAGAACACACCTGCACTAGCCTGCTGGAGGGAGAGAGACAATGAAGCCGAGAGGACTCCCTGGAGTTATTCCAGCTAAACCGCTCCTAGATCAGTCATTGGCCAGCCAACCCCCAGACAGGTAAGGGAGCCCAGCAAGTGTAGCTGAACTGCCCAGCTATCCCAAGACTTGTAAACAAAAACCTGTATACTTCTATGCCACCGAGTTTGGGGGTAATTTTCTTAGATACAAGAGCTAACTGATATGCTCATTTTTGCAAATTTGGAAACCACAGAGTAGTTAATCACCTCATCCAAGGTCACTCAGAGAGTAAGTAGTAGAGACAAGAAATGAACCCAGACAGCCTACTTCAAAGCCATGTACCTATCCACCATCAGAGCCCCTACTGAAGTGGAGAGTAAAATGAGATAGGGGATTGTAGCAACATGCAGCGGTGTGTGTGTGTGTGTGTGTGTGTGTGTGTGTGTGTGTGTGTGAGAGAGAGAGAGAGAGAGAGAGAGAGAGAGAGAGAAGAGAGAGAGAGAGATTCATTTTACTCAATATATCCCTTTCTTCTTGGAAAGTCCTTGTGTTAGTCATTCAAAGCAATCAATTTTAAAAAGAAATGTGAGTAGATGACATAGTATCAACCATTTAACTTCTAATAAATGAGCTACTCAAAGAAGAGATTCACAGAGATAGCATGTTCAAATGAAATGTTATCTTTTTCTAAAGAAAATACTACAGACTATAAATTTTAAGTAAAGGTGATGCACAAAATTGGGTGGCCAATATCAAACCCATCAGAATTTCTTTTGGAATGAAATACGATGTTACACTTAGGCATATTAGTTACACAGAGAGGATAAAAGGAGTCCGTAGACAAACAAGCCCTGTTAAATAATGCATTCTCAGAAAATCTATATCTGATACCCAAAATCATTTTTTACCTCTGCAGATGTGAAAAGGATTAATCTTGGCAACCCAGACAGCCCCTTTTCCTTGATATCAGGACAATATTTGTATCGAGCTAAATTCATGGCATACATATTGGACACTGAGCCACCTGCAAAAACAAAAAAATTGCAATGGCATATTTATAGCATAAAGTTATAGCTCCCTAAGTGCTGACTTCAGTGGAAAGTATAAATGGCTGTGGCTGCTCTGGTCTAATGACAAATCACTGGGAAAGTCATTTAAACCCCACCCCACCCACCCCATTACTCTTACACACTTCCCAGTCTCTAATTCCTGCAGTTTCCAATCTCAGCAAAGTGAGAAGTTTTGGTCTATTCTCTCATTCCGGAATTTTTCCAAACTAAAGGTTTCAATCTATGAGTTCTGTATCTAACTCTCTGTCGTTAATAATATTCTTTCTGTCTGTCATCTAACAATACATGCCCACCTCAGCTTCCAAACAAACAAACAAGCAAAAAAAGAGGATTGCAGGATAAATAAAATGTGACTTAGGAATCTTCTCAGGTAAAATTGATTTAAAAACCTAAAAATCTTATGATAGCCCTTCCAACAACAGGTAAATTCATTTGTGTTAGATATAAATCCTAAATTGTAGCTATCTCATTTGTTTAACATTTATGTCATTTATTATTATGTAAAACTAGAGGCCCAATGCACAAAATTCATGCAAGAGTAGGCCTTCCTTCCCCGGCTGCTGGCACCAGCTTCCCTCTGGCACCCGGGACCGGGGCTTACCTCGCATCCCTGGCTTCGTCCGGAAGGATGTCCGGTCTAATTAGCATATTACTTTTTTATTATTATGGATATTATTGCTCTGGAGAAAGGCACAAGCTAGGGTCTCCCCAAATAGCATTATTAATATCCCACTTTTTGTGATCTGTAAATTTGCAAGGAGTTGTTCTTCATCTACCACATTAATCTATTTTTAGATGCTTCTAATAGAAGGGAGATGGCAATAACTAATTGTACTTACCTGGGTTAAATATTCCATCCCCTTCTTTCCAGCCAATAAATTCAATCATTTTCTTCAGAACTGCTTCTTCCACTAACAGAAACACTGGGGACACCTCATATGTATAACTAGATAGATATAAAAAATACTTCACTTCTATGACTAGAGTCAAACCATCCCTTCGGTGTCCCAAGAAATGCACAGAGTTTTATTAAACCAAGTAGCTGTCGAAATGTAGATAGATTCTTTGGAAATTTATTCATTGGATATAGAGAAGTATGCAGTCAGTGATAGTGCTAGTTGTGGTTAGATAATAGCGGGTGGTCTTAGGGATACGCTGGCTGCTGCAGCAGTCTTAATTTACAGAAAAGCTTCAATTTCATTGGGAGAGATGAAGGCAGTGCATCTCGATTCTTTGCATTAGTCATGAGCAGTGGCCATTAACTCTTTGGATGATGCTTTGGATGCTGGCTAAGGGAAAAACCATTGTCATTGTAACTAGGTTTTATTAGGTTATCACTGTGAGTACCCTAGCAGGCAGCTCTAGATATTCTACATGGCAATGACCCATCCTGGATGAGAGCTTCCTCTACTACACGCCTGTGTTTGTACAAATGTGAAGTGCTCTGTGGGACATCTCTCGTTATGGGATTTTACAGCAAAGCAATACCCAGACCATCTGCCATGAAGAATCTGCTGCTTCAGGCTAGAGGGCTGGAGTCAGAGAGCACTGCTAAGTTAGCCTCTTTAGGAATTTCCTCAGCATAAGTGAGCCACCTTCCCTAAAGTTAAACCCTTCCCTGTGGTGGTCTACACCTGATCACTGGCCCAGCTGGAGGCATAAAGGCCTGGCCACTGGGCCCAACTCTAGACCAATTTAAAGAGCCATTGTAGTTCCAGAGATCTCCCTGGGGTCAGTCTCTTGTCATTGCACCTGCATGTCAGCTTGACTCCTTTCTCTGCCCACTCAGCTTCCTCCCCTCAGTGTCACCCATGCTGATCCCACGGGTATTCCTTAGTAAACATCTTGCTCACTAAATTTCCTTTAGAGAAGCTTCCCAGGGAACTGAACCCGAGACAGTTACCATTGTGCAATGTCTGAGTCTCTTCTTTCTCCAGTTAACTTGAGAATGACTAAATATCTATAACCTCCCCCCTAACAGTTAAGTAATTGCATTAAATTGTATCTGAATATGTGTACTCTGAGTATATAAGCTAGACAGACACGTTCAGATTTATAGTCACAGAATTTAATGCGATTATTTTAACATCTGGCAGGGAAAATTTTGGGAGGAAGAAAAAAGAAGACATACTATGTATCACCTCCCTATGTGCCAAGCACTCTACAAGCACTCTAGATTCTATTTTTAAACCATCCTAGGAAACCAGTTTACACATATCAAAAATGTGGGGGGAAAGTATATATATTTATGTGTACCTAAAATATAAAGTGAAATAATTATTCACTTTTTTGTAAGAAAAAATTAATACTAGATTAAATACAAATTAAGACTAATACTTTAAAAACCTCTAAAGATTTCAGTTATAAGAGCTTAGCAAACCCAATACACACAAGGAAAGGCCCACAGAATTGTGCAATTTTACTCTCTTCTGACTTACCTAACATTTTTAACTCTTCTACACATTGTAATCCAGGGTCTTGCATTACTCTACCCAAAATTCTCTAACTGAAGTCACCAGTAGCAAACATGTTGCTAATCTAGAGGACATGTCTTAGTCTGTCTTAAATACTCAGCAACATGTGACTAGAGACCAGTGGTTCTCAACCTGTGGGTCGCAACCCCTTTGGCGGTCGAACGACCCTTTCACAGGGGTCGCCTAAGACCATCCTGCCTATCAGATATTTACATTACGATTCATAACAGTAGCAACATTACAGTTATGAAGTAGCAACGAAATAATTTTATGGTTGGGTCACAACATGAGGAACTGTATTTAAAGGGCCAGGAGGTTGAGAACCACTGCTTTAGACAATCTCCTCCAGGGCTTCCATGTTTCGTTGCCTGATTTTCTCCTTCTATCTCTCTATTGCAGGCTGATCCTCCTCCTCCTAACTGCTAAATACTATTATTGTAGATAGCCTCAAAGCCCAGTCACAAGCCCTCCTCTCTCCTCACTCTATACTCTGTCCCAAAGGCAGCATTTCTCTATCCCCTGGGTTGTTTGTATTTTTCAGTGTCTCCATCCTTCTCATTAAAATCATTTATAAACACACCCACAGAAATTCATATTTAATTGATCAGTTTTGGAGCCCAGGCCTCAATTTTGTAAAAAAAGTTCCAAGATTGATTCTAATGAGCAGAAAGGGTTGAGAATCACTGACTTAAGGAATCTCATCCTTGCCCAGTGTTTCAACTACCATCGTTCACCAATAACTCTTAAATTGATCCTTTTCATAGACATGAGAATTTTTAGTTCCATGTATCCCATCAGTACAATGAAGTGAGTTAGTTATGCAAATAATAATAATAATACTAATAATAAAACCTTGAAAGTATTTGCTTAGGAAGTTTTCAATATTCAGTATTTTTGGAAGTGTCAATGAAGTACTGATGGGGTGGTCATAATAATCTGGCCACTCCGTGTATATGCTGTTCCTTCTGTTTAGAACTCATCCCTCCCGTTTTCATCTTACTTTTTACTTACCCTTTATCTCTTAGCTATAACTTCCTCAGAGAAGACTTTCTAGAGTTCCCAACTAGAAAAAATTGGCCCATTTATATTTATAGCATCACGCCCACTTTACATGAGAATTGAAATTTTCGGTTAATTTGTATGCACGTTTTGATTAATTTGCATGGAGCATCTCTATCTCACTAGATATTTTGTTTCATGAAGGCAAAGTCAAGGTTTGTTTTTACTCAAAGTATCTCTCCAGCACTTAGCACAGACATAGCTTTTCATGCAGAATAAATTAAAAGTTGCTTCTTCATTTTCTCATTTGTTAAGTGGAGATAATGCCTGCTTTACCCTCTCACAGAACCACTATCAAATCAAACAGCTCTTTGAATACTACTGTCATAAGACTATTCCATTAGTTAGGATGACACTGCACCAATGAAATCATTAACTAGAAATTTACAAAATAAAATTTTCATCTACTTAAAAAACATCTCTAATCCACATCTGGTATAAATTTCCAGTATAATGATACTTACACACTTGGATTTAATGCTTCTGTCATAAATCGAGCCACCAAGGAGTAATAATCAAGTCCAGCATACAACTGGTTGAAAAATCTTGGATGGTCTGTAAATTTAAACAGAGTATTCATCTACACAGCAATAAAAAAGAAAACTCTACCAATACTGCATAGCAATAACATAAATGAATCTTTTAGACAATAAAAGCAGCTGGACACAAAAGAATATATACTGCATAACTGCACTTATGTGATATTCGATATCAGGCAAAGCTGATCTATGGAGATAGAAGTTAGAATTCTGGGTACCTTTGGGAAAGACATATTGATTAGAAAGGCGTGTCCAGAGTGTTGAGAATTGTTTTTATCTCTACCTTGGTGATGGTTATTTACATAGGCATATGTGCAAATTCATCCATATGAGAATGTAAGATCAATCCATTGTACTGAATGCAAATTACACCTCAATTTTAAAAGAGCATTCAAAACTTAATTATGCACAAAGGCAACAAATGTTAAAGACCCGTCTCCTAGCCCTTTCTCCTGAACAATGATACACTTCTGAGTAAAACCTGAGCCATCTTTTACAACCTTTGGTTTGCCTACTCCTTTCTTTCTACCACCCTGACTCAGATCAAAATCTTCAAGAATTGGGTTATTTGAACACTTTCTATACATGTATCAAATATCAAAGCCTGCTATCTTTATCCTCCAAAAATATTGATATTAACTTCTCCAAATGTACACACACTTCTCTCACCAGCAGGTTTCGCTTCGGGCTTCTAGCAGTGAGTGGCCTTTTTATTTTTCAGACTCGACCATTTTTCAGAGTGCAACTGGCATTATGTGGATGGAGTAGGACGTGACTCATCGTGCAGCTTACATAAACTTTCTGATTCAACTTTTTTCAAAGGCAAGTTGCCTTTAAGACTCAAACAACTTTAGTTCCAACTTTCTATTCTGCACTCCCCCCGCCCCCCCCATAAAAGGTTTCGTAAAGGTCCTTGGCTTTATACAATGTGAATATTCACACCAAACACCAGGGTAACTGGCTTGGCTGCCCAGCCTGACCAAGAACAATGGCACAGGTCTATTTCCAACTTTGAGTATTGGGGAACCATTTCAGTTAGTGACTTCTTGCTACAACTTCCAGTATTTGGTTTTTAGATTATTTTTCCTCTTTCAACTAGGGGTTCAATGAAAAACAAAAGTATCAAGAGAAAATGTCTTTTTAAAATAAAACATGGAAAACTTCCTTTAATCTGGCAAAGGAAACCAGACATAGCTGCACGTAATTTTAATAAGATTTGTTTTTTTGTGTTTTTTTTTGTTCTGTGTTAATTTATGATTGATTTCCATGGTAACGTTATGGGAAATATCTAGTAAGCTGAAAAATCTACTGCATTAAATGTCCTTCTACACTTCTGACATGCACTAGAATAATAAGATATGTATCTCGGCTTTTGAAATGCTAAGTGGGTTTTTGATACATACACCAGACTTTCCCAAGGGAATATAAACCAATTATTTTTAGCCAGAATTTTATGATATTCCTTCCACTACATTTAGTTCAGCGTCAGAATTCACACAGCATAATGCCTGCATGGTCTTAAGCACTAGATTACCTTTACATCGTACTGAGAAATGCATATTTTGGAAAATTATTCTCCTACTTTAAGAACTTGTTCCCTGGGTATATGTTAACAGTCAGCTGGAACAGTCTTCAGCACAAAACTGGCATGATGTTACTGCATTTACAAAGATCACAGTTGTTAAGCATTGTTGTGAAACCATCACAACATGAACTCACCATGTATAAGATTCATTTTTTATACCTTCCTAGAGGTTCTTATTTTTTGATCCTACTAGAGTTGATAAAATAATTTGGTAATTACCAACTGCCCAGAGTTAATAAGTATTTTCCAAATAAATCTATTCCTATTTATATTAAGGACTCATTCTTGAACATTTTTTTGTGTGCATATTCTAGGCCAGTGGTCGGCAAACTGGGGCTCTCGAGCAACATGCGGCTCTTTGTCCCCTTGAGTGTGGCTCTTCCACAAAATACCACGTGCGGGCGCACATGTACAGTGCGAATGAAACTTCGTGGCCCATGCGCAGAAGTCGGTATTTTGTGGAAGAGCCACACTCAAGGGGCCGAAGAGCCACATGTGGCTCACGAGCCGCAGTTTGCCGACCACTGTTCTAGGCCACTAAAATTTAAAATTCCTTACAAATTCTATAATCAAAGTATCATTTGCCAGTTTGGATCAACATAAGAAATGAGAAGTGGCAGTAATGGTATATGGGCTTAATTATAAGTGGGGAATGGGGATCACCAAGGAGTGGATAATAATTATATGTGACCATTAACACCAACAGTTTCAATTTCATTTTATTTTTGGCCCTTACCATAAATCTGTAATAAGGATTTAATGGACCATTTAAAAACTATCAGAACCACTATGTTTTGTTTTTGTTTTTAACGTATTTTTATTAATTTCAGAAATGAAGGAAGAAGAAGAGAGACAGAAACATCAATGATGAGAAAGAATCATGGATCAGCTGCCTCCTGCATGCCCCACACTGGGCATAGAGCCCACAGCCCGGGCATGTTCCATTGACTGGAATCGAAACCCAAACCCTCAGTCCTCAGGCAGGCACTCTATCCACTGAACCAAACTGGCTAGGGCAGAATCACTATGTTTTGATCCAGGTTTCTCATCCATAAACACTGTCATACTCAGCTTTACCATGAGGTAAATAAATCCTGAAGAACATGTACTTATTAGAGGTACTCATCAAGGAAGTAAATTCTTACTAGTTTTGACACTGTAGCGTATGACGTCCCGGCAGAGTTCCAACAGCCTGTGGTGCGGCTCTCCTGTGTCTCTCATCTCCAAATCAAGAAGCTGTTTCAGTTGTTCAGGAGGCTGCCATTCACAAACCTGGAGGGTTAGCAATAAAACAGTTAACTGAGCACCCATTGATAGCCAAGTATTGAACGAATATTAGAACTCTAACCTTATGAAGCTTCCAGACAAGTGGGAGAGACAGGGACTTAAGGTGCAACCACAGTTGAGCATGAAAAGAGCTATTACAATAATGCAGAAGTCATTAAACAAATGAGGGGCCTCACCTTAGATTTGGAAGGTCAAAAATGAACCAAGCAAAGTTTAGGGGCTGGGGTAGTTCAAGGGGCATTCTAGGTGGAAGTAATAGAAGTCACAAAGGCTGAAATACGAATAGAGGAGCCCAGGGCACATGGGAAGAATGAAGTATGTGTAGTGTGGCTAGAAGAGGCAGTTTGAGGAAGGGAGAGGCAAGAATTAAGGCTGAAATAACAAATTCCTGCTAACTAGTCTCTGTGCTTATATCCTTGCCTCATAGTCTACTAGCAATGTGGCATGGTCATTCCTCTGCTCAAATATTCCCAATGGGCCTCCGTATTCTTCCCAGGAAAACCAAAGTCCATACAATGACCTAAAATGATCCTGTATAATCTGCTTCCCCTGGTAGGGCTCCCCTTCTAGTTGCATCTAGCACTACTTTCCTCCTGGCTGACTCTGCCCTGCCAACCTGGCCTCCTTGCTGTTCTTCAGTGCACCGGGCATGCTCCCATCTTAGGTTCTCTGAACTGGTTGTGCCCTCCACCTGGAATGCTCCTCCTCCAAATATCCCTACAGCTAATTTCCTCACTGCTTTCAAAGCTCTACTCAAATGTCACTTTCTCAATGACAGCAATTCTGATTCCCTTATTAAAAATCACAAGCTGCACAATAACCCATCTCTACCAATCTCTCCTGACTTTTCTACTCATCATTTTTCTATAGCACGTATCACCATCCAATATTTATTATGTCCTATATAATCTCCATGGAAGCGGAGACATTGGTTTGTTTGTTCACTGGTCCCAAGTAAATGATGCAGAACCGGCTACCTAGGGGATGCTTAATAAAGATATGATGAATGAATAAATAAATGAATGAATAAAAAAATAAGCAAGACTCATATCATTATAGGCTTTATGTAGCATAAAGTGTGAACTTGGCACTAAGAAAGCCATTGGGATATTTTGGACGGGGGAATTATATCATCATATTTGTGTTTTGGATAATAGCTTTTGTTGCTATGTGGAGATTCCAAGTAAGATTGGAAATAAAGGTTACTGTAATAAATCAGGCCAGAAAAGGTGGCAGGCTGGATGAGGGTAGATACTATAAGAATGAAATATTTCTAGAGATATTTGAAATGCTAAATCAATAGAACTTAGAAATCAATTTCACAGTGAGGATGAGGGATAGGAATAATCAAGGATAATCCTGAGGTCTCTACCTTGCATGCATGCGTTGATGGTGGTGAGAGGGAGAAGCATCTGGTATGGGTGGGGATGATGAGTTTGGAGAATATTTAGTTTAAGGATTCTCAAGACATCCAAAGGGGTGTAGCAGTCGGTCTGAAGCTGCTGTGAAATATGAGGAAGAAAGGTTCAGGCTGTGTATACCGTGATAATCTACCGTGGTTGACACAGCTCAGAGAGAACCTACAGCGAAGAGGAAAAGATGCAGGATCTCACCTGAGTCATGCCAACATTCAAAAAGTGGGCAAAGGGAGAGAGGCTCCTGCGTGAGGTGGGGGACATGCTGAAGAAGCAGGGAGAATCCTAGAAGAGTTTAATGCTATTAACACAAAGAATGTTCTGAGAAGAAGAACATAGTCATCACTGTCAAATCCTAGTGAGAAGCCAAATTAGATAAAGACTGTGAAGTGCTCATGTGTGTTATCAACAAGGAGGTGTTCTTGGCAAGAGCAGTGTGACTTAGAGGTAGGAGTGGGGGCCAGATTGCTGTGAAGTGAGCGTGTAGGAGGTGAGGAGATAGAGGGAGGGAGGGGGGAGATAATTTTTTTAAAAGTTTGACTGTGGAGGGGAGGAGAGAGACAGAGGAATAGTCAGGAAGTGAGGAGACTAAGTGGTGGGAGGTTGTGGGAAACAGGAGGAAATACCAAGTTGTCCAAGAGGTATGAAATTAACCTCTGATGTTAGGACTACAAGAGGCAGAGGTAAATCAAAAGTAACAGAAACAATAAGAAGAATTAAGTAGTGATACACACAACAACATGGATGAATCGCAAATACATTTTGCTGAGGGAAAATAGCAAGACTCAAAAGGCTACGTGTGATATGATTCCAACTATCTGACATTTTGGAAAAGTCGAAAACTACAGGGACAAAAAACAGAATAATGGCTGCCGGGGTCTAGAGTTGAGGGGAGGGTTTGACTACAGAGGGGTATAAAGAAATTTTGGAGGTGATAGAACTATTCTATATCTTGATTGTGGTGATGGTTCCATTAATTTTCAAAACTCACAGAACAGTACACCAAAAAGAGTAAATTTTACTGAATGTAAATTATGACTCTTTTTTTTAAAGGTGGCTGAGAAAGTGTGTCTACCACAGAGGGTACTAGAAGTAATTATCTCACGAAGTGTGGGGTGTATAAGCAGGGCACCTTATTTTTAAAAAAATCTTAAATGTATTGGTGTGACATTGGTTAATAAAATTGTTTCAAGTGTACATTTATAATATACCTCATCTGTACACTGAGTTGTGTGCCTACCACCCAAAATCATCAAATATTCTTCCACCACCATATATTTGACCCCCTTTACCTTTTACTAACACCCACCCATCACCTTTTAATGGTACCCTGTTGGATCTCTAACAAAGTAGGCTAAGTTAGTGGCATAAAAACTTCACCCCCTCTCTCAACCCCAACATAGCTTTCTATCCACGTTCACATGGATAGTCTACACATCTGCTATATTGTGATTGACTTGTGTTTCCTTAATTGATAACTTAGGATCATAAGCCTACCCTTCTCCTCTTATCTCCTATTAGTTCCCTATAGGAACACTTTTTTTCTCGGCAAAATGGTCCCTTTACTATGTTAAACGCATCTTGTTTTTTGCAACTCTTTCCATATTTAACTTCCTGCTTTCTTCAACACAGAGGCTGACTTCTCTGCGCCCATCAAAATCTTACTTAACCTTCGCATTCCACATGAAAGGTCAAAGTGCCCACCCCTCTGTAAAATCCCCAAAGTCAGCCCCAGTCACAGAGCATTTATCACATTCTTATGGGACCCCCTGTTCTCTTTTCCAATGAAAACTTATTCTTCCAATTAGATTATAAATTCAGTTCAAAGCTGAACCTTTCTCTTATTTTTCTTTGTATTTCCCCGGGTTATATATAATGCCTTACCCATAACTAACACTCGGTTAATATTTAATGACTGAATAAAGGCCAATTTAAAAAAATCTTACCAGAGGAGCAGTGTGCTCCAAAGTAAAGCAGGTGCAAAATATTTCACAAGTACAGATAAGACCAGAAAATGGGCAATTATAAATATATAATCAGGAAATGTCAGTGATTTTGCCTTGAACATAGCCATTCAAAGTTCACAATTCATTTCAATCTATTTTGGTATTAGTTTTCCCAAATGCATGTGATCAAAAATTCAGAATACATTCCGCTTCACATTCAAAATGTTTTTTAAATGACTTTTATTTCCGACTAATAGAATTGGAATAAAAATCTCTCTATCTCTCCTATCTGTTGATCCATTTGTTGGTAACCCAATTCTGCTATAAATGGTGATCAATGTGAGAAAGGATAATTTGGGGATTTTATGAAACATAGAGAGGAGTAAGTAGTTAAAGGCACAGACTCTGAAGCCAGGCTGCCTGTGTTTCAGGGCCAGCTCTGACGCTTACTAGCATGTGATCTTAGGCAGAGTACTTAACCTCTCTGTGTCTCATTTTTTTCCTCATTTTTAAAATGTAGTTACTAAACAGTACCTGCCTCTTAGGGGTTTTTAAGGACTAAATGAACAAATACATATGGTGTAGTCCTTAGAACAGCATCTGGTACATCGTTAAGCACTCTTAAGAGTAGACATTATTAGTGGTGGTTCCCATATCGTTTTGAATCTGATTTTGAGCCCCAATTTGAAACCTAACATCAATACTTGGTACCTATCAGAAGTCAGGCTTAACAACCAAAGATTTCTAACCTAACCTCAGACAAACTCCTGTAAGGACCCTCAGATAAATTGTAAAACTTTTCACACCCTTTCTACCTTCTGCTTGGTTTTTATTAGCTACATAAAGAATGTGTATCAAAAAATGGAGAGCAAAGTGTGTTTTTTCACAGGGTGTATAAGTCTGACCATCAGGTTATTTATAGTCTATATTATTATCTAGAGCAGAAAGCTTCATCCATGTGCTTCATGGCCTTATATGCCTAAGTTCTGGAGTCCCAGACAATCTCCCAGCAAATGACTGTTAAGAGTTAATCCTTCCATGCCTGACCAGTGTGGTTCAGTAGTTGAGCATTGACCTATGAACCAGGAGGTCACAGTTCAATTCTCCTTCAGAGCACATGCCAGGGTTGTGGGCTTGATCCTCAGCAGGGGGTATGCAGGAGGCAGCAAATTGATCTCTCTCTCTCTCTCTCTCTCTCTCTCTCTCTCTCTCCCTTTCCTCTCTGAAATTAATTATACATATATGTAAACTAGAGGCCCAGTGCACAGATCGTGCACTGGTGGGGTCCTTCAGCCTGGCCTGTGGGGATTGGGCTGAAACTGACTCTCTGACATCCCCCAAGGGGTTCCAGATTGCGAGAAGGTACAGGCCAGGCAGAGGGACTCCACCGGTCACGATCGTGGCCGGGAAGGAACTGCAGGAGGGCTCTAGTGCGTGTCTGACCCATCTCGCCCAGTCCTGATCAACTGGACTCCAGCAGCAAGCTAACCTACCGGTTGGAGCGTCTGCCCCATGGTGGTCAGTGTGCGTCATAGCAACTAGTTAAATGATTGAACAGTAGGACACTTAGCATATTAGGATTTTATTACTTAGGATTTTTAAAATTATTTTTTAAATGCTAACCCTTCCAGGAAAGCAGATACGGGGTGGGGAAGACAAATGCAACTTTAGTATCTGGGCAGCCCCTTGAAACAAAGGTATAGAGGAAATTAAAATGTGCACTTGCCATTTCCCTTACATCTAGCCATCCAGATTTTGGCGGGGGGGTGGGGGGGGTGGGGGGGGGCGGGCGGGGATATCTTTCCTCATTCCTAGGATTGCTTATAGACTATTTTCTTTTACCTTCTCATTGACATCTGTTGCCTTTAAAACCACCTCTTCCAATATTAGCCTACAGGCCTCTTCAACAAACTTTTCTCCTGCCTTTGCATCTGTGGTGGGACCATTCAGTATGACCCCGTCCACGAGAACAGCGCTCTTCTTAGTTGAAACCATCTCTTGTTGACCAGTATCTCCTGGAAGCACACAAAAAACTGTGTATGAGAGATAATCTAAGTAGACCACAACAAAACACAGGGTAAAAAATGAGTCACCACCCCAGCTTCAAATGGCATGATTTATTTTAATACATTTGCAGCACTGACGCTGACAGTTTCTTATATGGTGCTCAAGAGTGGAGTTAGGGAAAGAAACCTCTATGTTCCATTTCTGTAGCATCTTGTTCAGCATCAGGGAGTGTGGATGAGCTCACATAATTAAAATTCAACTGATTTTACCCATTCTTACAAACACCTTTCAAAAGATCTTGGTAAACACAAAGGCCATGTCTATTGCATGAACACACCCTTTCTTGCAATTTCTTAAGGCTCTCCATATATTTTCTTTTAATAAGTCATCCCTAAAGTAGAAGAAACAATATTGCAGTGTCACTTTTCTTAACTTCACATTTTAAGCATATGTTTAAATGACCCTCTATATAGACAGTGCTTTGTCCCCCAAAGCGCACCCCCCCAAACCCCGCTTAAATCTCCTCAGCCATTTCCTACTGAAAGAAAATGTGAGGCATAATGGTTTGCATAAACCCATATTTAATGGCTTTAAACTTCTCAAGCTTGCAGTTGAGGCCCAGGCGGAAGGATGGAACAGGACATTTTTGGGACGACACAGCTGCTGGTCAGTGACTAACGGTTAAAAGTCAGCGTGGAAATTTATAGCTGAGAATAAAGGATCATCCTCCACAAAAATAACATTAACAACTGAATCCAGATATCCAATCAATATCTGCTACACATGTTGATTTGATTGTTTTTCTTTGTCTAAATAGTATCTCTCTCCTCCTTATAATGCTCATGTTCACTTAGTTGTGGAAATTGACAAAAACAAATTTTGTAAGTATTTCTCAGCCCAGCACCTAGCCCAGTGCCTTACGTATATTGTCTAAAACTGCCTTACGTATGCTGATGGCCTAACTGTATTTCAAATATTTTTATATTTATTGAGGGCTCTAAGAGTATTAACATGTATTATACGGTTGAGCTTGTCTTCTCCTCAACATTAAATGTTTTGATAAAGTCCTGAGGTTTATAAACTCTTTCATTCTATTGCTGCCAAACTCAAATAGTGTCCCTGGAGGTGGATGGAAATGTCACGGGAACATTCCCCTATTTGGGAAAGATGGGACCTGCAGCGAGAGATGAGTCTTTATCCTCACACTGAAGGCTGAACCATCCAGAGCTCCAACATTGAACTTTCGTTCCATCCCTCACATTCACTTATCTTTCACTTGAAAGGATGTATTTAACATGGTTTAGGGCTGAATGCTGAAGCAATAGAATTTCACTATTAGACGGAAATGCTTTACACCTAAAGGCACTTTCCTCCCCCCGATTTTAGGTCCTAAAAATAAACTGGAAAAGAGGACAATTATTCAGGAAACCCTGGTTATGTCAGTAGGCAGTGCTGTTATAAAGCACACAGAAAAAGTTAGTGATTTTTTTTACCTCATTAGTAGGATTGTGGGTTTTTATTGCCTAGGGAATAGCAGCCTCTCAGATGAGAGTCACTCTCCTCTCTGCCATCTCTCTTCTCTCTTCTCTTCTCTTCCCTTCTCTCTCTCTCTCTCTCTCTCTCTCTCTCTCTCTCTCTCTCTCTCTCTCTCTCTCTCACACACACACACACACACAAACACACACACTAAAAAATGTCAAACACCACTTGCAACTATTGAAATTGGAATTAAAATGATCTGTCTCCATAACAACCAATTAGAGAAATGCCCATAATTCAGACCACTATTAAGAAGGAAATACTATAAAAACTGGGTATAGATTATTCCTCTTTTCTTAATAGATATATTTCATTTCTACTGCCAAATGGCATCACGTGACTCTTCCTCCCCCTGCATTTTCCCAAATTGGAAAAGACCCTCTGGAGATTGTACAGTAGGTCACACTGTGACCTTTGGAGATGCAACCCTAGGACTTCCAATCTAACTACTAGAGTTATAGTGGTTAATAACAGTCTTTCAATTGAAGGAATCGTCCATGTAGCCAGAATATGACTTTTTATTACACACTTTCCTGAAACCATCAAATACTAGTCCAAACCACCATCAAATACTTACATTAGTGCAGCAGCCTCCCAACTGATCCCCCAACCTCCATGTATACCCTGCATGCCACGTGGATTAACTTCAACATGGTAGCTCCTATGTTCCTTTGAAAAGATCATTCAGATCACATGACGACTACTATACTCAAACCATCCAATGGCCATTTATCACATTAAACCAATGATCAAGTTCTTATAATGACCTCTATGCCTTCAATGAGCCACTTTCCCATTATCTCTTGGACCACAAACTTCATCTCTTATTTCTGTCCTCTAAGCTCATCACTTTGGCTTCTTCAATTTTCTTCGATTTTTTTTCTTAAACACCAGCTTCTCGGCAAGGCCTTCCTTGATAACCCTACTTAAAACTGCAACCACTTCTTCCCCCCCAGCGTCTCTTCTTTATTTGTTTCAGATTCTAACAAATGCTCTAAAGAAAATTACCTGAATGACTTGATAGACTACAGACAAGAAGTTACTTTAGAACCTGGTCAGGGAAAAGCATTCTGAAGAAGCCACATTTGAACTGAGACGTGAAAGAGGAGATGGAGCCAGACCTGGAAAAAGAGACTAGTCCAGGTAGAAGGAACAGAAAAATGCAAATAATCAGTAAATTGGCCTCTTAAAGAAATAGAAAGAGATCAATGTGGCTCAAGTGTGAGAACAAGGAGAAGGCAGGGATAAGTGAGATTTGGAGAGATAGATCAGGTAAGGTAATTTATTCTAAAAGCAACAGGAAGCCACTTAAAGGGTTCTACACAGAGGAGCAGCATGATCTAGTTTGCAGTCATAAGATTACCCTGATACTATGAGGATGATGGACTGTCGGAGGCAGATGTAGAAACAGGGACATTGCTTAGGAGGCTACCGCAGAAGTCCAGGCAACAGATCATGGCAGCTTTGATCAGGAAGGAGGTAGCAGAAATGTAGCAAAGTGGGGGACATTTTGGCGGTAAAGCCAAGAGGACTTGCTGAAGAAGTAGATGTAGGGGGTCAAGAAAACAAAAGAACCTAAGGTGACTCTTGGGGTTGGGCCTGAGACACCAGGGGAATGCTGGGGGCCATACTGCTATGAAGGCCACTGGAAAAGGACAAGTTGGGTAAGTGGGTGGTGAGGTGGGGTTAGAGTATCAAGATTTTCTCACCGATTAGTAGAAAATGCTTATGATGGGGTAGAAACAAAGGTCATGGCAAGAACATTCGTGACAAAAAAGTAAGCAAACATGAACGAGGCAGAAAAATGTATGTGTCTGTCTGTGTCCAGGAAACCTCAAGAACTGCTGTTTGTCCAAGGGGCAGGGTCTGTAAATGGTAAAAGTGACTAGTGAAAAGGAGGCCTGGTGACTGATCTTACAGGAGCCTGAATAGAGACTGAGGATTTTAGATGTTACTTGGTAGGCAACAGGCAGCCATTGAGAACTTCCGATGGGATAGGAGAGTGCTTCAGAAAGATGCAGTGAGTACTCATGTAGAGTTCAGATGGGAAAACAAGAACTGGAGGTGGGGAGATTTGATGGCAATAATCCAGGCCAGGGAGAGGGAGGACATGAATCAGATAAAAGACAAGACAGTAGGTTTATATTTATTTTAATCTCTCCCCTACAATAGTGTTACCGAAAACTTGGATCCAAGAATCCTGTGTCTTTTAATGAGCCCGGCTACTGTCCATGAACCCTGCCACTGTCCATGGGGAGGATCATTTTCTATCCTCCAGTAACCCTGTGTTCTAAAATGATCGTTAGATGAAAATGTTACAGAATAAGATAGGAACAAAATCATTTTGTATATCCATGCATTGGCTCCTCCCTTGCAAAGGGTGGATGAAAATATAACATTTCTGGAAAGTGACATCTTTCCATCACCCAGGATTTTATTTTACAAGGTCCTGTTGCATTAGCATCTGGGATGCCAGTGAAATGATGATTCAGATTCTGTGGAAATACCAAGGCACTGCCTTCAACAAAAGAGCTGGGTCCATGAACATCATCTATTCTCTGAGAGGACAAGCTCCTCAGAAGAAAAAATCTCTGAAACAGTGCCCCCCCCCCAAAAAAAAAGCAGCTGTCAGTGCCCTGTCAATGGTCAATCAATGTAAGGTGCACCATAAATCCTATCTATTGATTTTTAATTTCAAAAATATTTTCCTTTCACTGGGTACTAGGCCAGTAACTGGGTAACCTTCTGATATTTTCAGAGGAGTGAGTTTTCCAGAGACATCTATCAACTATTCCTATTGCTTGAGTAAACAGTACTTAACAAGCTTTGTATAAGGTTGTTATACATCTTTGTCATACTGATAGGAAGCTCTTAGGAACACCCCACCTCCACCCCACCATCCTACCTTTAAACCTTACGAACTTTTCTGATGGGTACAAGTTCAGTTCTCAGGGGCTTGAATTAAGTTGGGCTCCAGGAGAAAACTGGATTTGGCAAACCTACAGGGTAAATTGCAGCCCAGGCTGTAGAGCTTGGCTGTGGATGATGTACTTTTATTGGGCTCAAAGGGAGCTATTCCTCCAAGGTGCAATGTGTTCCCCAGGAGCCGTACACTGTGTCTTCCTTCACCTTCAGTAGCCACTGCCAGTTCCTGTGGCCATTTCCCCCTCTGCCATCTTGGCTTCTTGTCCTCTCTGAGTCTTCATTGTCTACATATGTTTGTAAAGCATCAGATTTTACTTGTTGCTTTATCAGTGACGCCTGTCTTTTCTGAGATTTAATACCAATTAGGTAGAATGCCCAATTTTAGTTTGTTTGTTTGCTTGGGGTGTTGTTAGCCTAAACAGCATTGAACTGGAGCCATCCTCCCCCCGGGACACTGTCTTGGGCGGCACCATCAGTTAAGGTTATCTGCTTTTGTGGGTATCTCTAAGTCCCAACTGTTCCATATCTCCAGAGTTGCCTTGGCTCCTATCTTTTCCAAGGCCTAATTATGTAGCTCTCTCTCCACTTCTATGAGTTCTCCAAGATCCTTTCCATAACTCCCCTCCCCCCTTAGTGAGTGTCATTCTATATTCTGTGAAACTAGGGAACCATAACTAATACTCTGAATAACTTGGCATCTTTAGGCATTTCAACTAAGGAAAGTTAAAACAACTAGACACACCTTACTAAGTATACTCTCTGGTCCCTTAGAGTCTCCCACGTATTTGTATTGTTCTCCAAAGCTGGAAGGTCACCCAGTCACCATCAGAAAATAAATATAGTGTTTTCTTCTTTCTCTTTTTAAAAAACATTCCACTTACATATAAGTCTGGATGTTTGAGGTCAATGAGTAGAGTACTATCTTAGCAAAAAAGACTCTAGAACAATACTGCCAAAAAGAAATATAGAACAAGCCATTGTGTGACTTTCCTTTCTAGAAGTAGTATGGCAAAAAGGAAACAAACAAAAAAAAATACAACTGTACTTACTAAACAATAACAATAATTAACATTTATTGGACCAGGAACTGAACTAGGCACCTTATATGAATTACCTTATTTAATCCTCATAATAAATCTATGATGAAAATACCTTTATTAGCTTTGTTTTTCAGATAGGGAATTTGAGGCCAGATAGATGAAAATAATTGTCCACATCACATAGCTAGTAAGTGGAAGAGTCAGATGTTAAAGCCAAACAGCCTAAGTTCAGATGTTATGTTGATTATTACTACATTTTACCTTTTTCACAAAAAGCAAACAAGAAAATATTGCTTCTTGTGCCTCATAAACCACACTAAACTATCTGAACACATAATTTGTACTCCTAAGCAAGAAGTGATTATCTTGGAACTATGTATTAAGTTGCAATGTGATACAATTTAATATATAGTTTTAAAACCAATTTGCTTAACCAGCAATTTAAATGAAAATTTAAATAAATGCTATAAATGGCTGCCTCATTTGCATGATCCATTGATTAACTCTGATATGAGGCTCATCTGTACTCGGGGTTCAGTCTCCTAGCCTTGGTCTTGGGAAGATCATCTTCTAGGTGAGTGAGGGCAATTACTCTCAGCTTCTTAGTGCCTCTACACACATACTGGGACATTCACATGTGGCCGCCCTAAAATGCAGAAATTTACATTGACCATAACCCTTTTGTGGAGTTTATTAAATGTAATTGGAAAGAATATACTATGAAGCTGCTTGGAATGGCAGTAAGATAGAGCTCAAAGGAAAAAAATAGATGCTCTAAACTTCCGTCCAAAGAGGGGGGACTCTTTTAGTTGGAGGGCAAGTGCATTGCTAAGTGGGATATACAAATCTGGGGTCAGACATGAACTGCTCAGTGATGTAGATTTTTCCATCTTATCCTTTAGGCTACATAGAATTAGCTTTACTCGCATATAAAATCAGAGCAAATATTCTAAAAAAATTTACCTGGGAGCCAACACAATCACATAAACTATATTATAGACGGTGCCCCTATATGCAGAAGCTCTGGGGATGCCCACATATCTCACTGCTACTCTGGTGTTGGTAAATGAAGTACTCACAGAATACCACACAAACAGATCATGAAGACTTGGCATAGGTACGCCACAGCTGATACCCACCCATGCATGGGTTTGTATCCATCTAGAATTTGTGCCAAGGTTGCTTTCGCCAATTTCATGTAGGAGCATGGGATCTTAGAGCTTGACAAGCATTTACAGATAATTTAGCAAATGTCCTAATTTTTTTTAATTTAAGGGAACTGAGAATTACTGGCACACACAGTGTTTGATGCTTCGATATGCTCTTCTACGGGTCTGTCAGAGCCTCTCAGGGTTGTCCACACTTCACCTCTCATAAGAATGTAGAGCCTATTTCACATAGTAATGGTTAGCATTTATTTAGCATTTACTATGTGCCAGGTTTTTAGGAAGTCCTTCATAAACAGTAGTGCGTTTATCACACATAAGAACCCTGTGAGGATACAAACAACTAAAACTCACTCTGGTTAAGTTAAGCAGACAAATAATTTATTGGGAGGGTGCATCAGTTTTCTAGAGTCGTGTAACAAATTACCACAAAATTTAGTAGCTTAATCCTACCAGACCTGAGGCCCTAAACCTAACTGTCCCCTATACCTGGGCTCCTGAGCATTAAAGAGAAAAAACCAACACGATATAGAAAAATGTTAGTTACATGCAAAGAAGTAGTTAGAATAAGATGGAACTTGGAGACATTGT